TTGTGGAAGACAGTGTGGCGATTCCTCAAGGATCTAGAAATAGATATACCATTTGTCCCTGTAATCCCGTTACTGGGTATATACCCAAAGCATTATAAATCATTCTACTATAAAGACACATGCATACGTATGTTTATTGCAGCACTGTTCACAATAACAAAGACTGTAACTAACCCAAATGCCCATTAATGATAGACTGGATAAAGAAAATGTGGCATATATACACCACGGAATACTATGCAGCCATAAAAAAGGATGAGTTCATGTCCTTTGCAGGGACACGGATGAAGCTGAAAACCATCATTCTCAGCAAACTAACACAGGAACAGAAAACCAAACACCGCATGTTCTCACTCACAAGTGGGAGTTCAACAATGAGAACATATGGACCCAAAGAGGAGAACGTCACACACTGAGGCCTGTTGGGGGTTGGAGGGATAGGGGAAGGACAGCATTAACAGAAATACCTAATGTAGGTGACGCATTGATGGGTGCAGCAAACCACCATGTCACGTGTATACTTATGTAACAAACCTACACATTCTGCACATGTATCCCAGAACTTAAAGTATAATAATAATTTTTTAAAAAGGTGACCCACAAGCCAGGCATGGTGGCTCACGCCTGTAATCCAACCACTTTGGAGGCCAAGGCGGGCTGATCACCTGAGGTTGGGAGTTCAAGACCAGCCTTATCAACATGGTGAAACCCTGTACTAAAAAAAAAAAAAAAAGCTGATCCAGCGATGCCTACTGATGTGCAGAAGCTTCTAAAAATATTGCAATATTGCTTCTCTTGAAAGCCTCTTGATAAAAGGTAACACGTTGATTTAAAAAAATTGAATCTGCAAATCTTTTGGCTAAGTTGCTATAGTGTCCTGAATGTGAAAACAAAGGTGGACAAAGTGTTTGTTACAAGAAGGTAAGCACTCAGGTGAATAGGCTTGCTTCTTTATCAGAGCTATCCATGTGGAGTCCAGGCAGAGAGAATATTTTCTTTGCCCTATTAGTTAACCGGCTTAGCCCTGAGCTCAAGTCATGTAGCTAAAAAACGATAGTTAAGTTAGAAAGACTGTCTAACTGAACTAAATTGGTCTCTAAAATATACCTGTCTGTCATTTAGCTGACTATTTTGAAACACGTTTACAAAACCAATCTATATCTATAAAGGAAATCTCAATTTTTAAGGGTGTCTACCTCTGCACCAGAAAGAAAGGAAGGACTGAGTAGAGAAACTCTTATCATTGATCATTGGCTTAAATTTACATAACAAGTCTTACCTTTGCTACATCATCTTTCCTCCTTTGAGAAAATGATGGCTCCACCATCTCCACCAGTCATCAGAAAGTTTAGAAGGCTATTGCTTCTAATCTCAGCCATCAGAAAATTTAGAAAACGCTATTTTTGAAAAATCTTACTTTCCATCTTCTTGATGTGACTGAAAAAGAAAACCCTTTGATTTTCCCGCAGTTCTTCATCCCCACTGCAAGTGGAGCTAAGGTGAGAGAGACTAGCAACCCTTATTTGGATCAGCATGGAAAGTGAGTCTCTCTCATCCTGGATATCTGAATTATAATTGAAAAAATGAATGGTGATCCAATGGTCATAGACAAAAAAGGTAAAAGGGGAAGATTTTCCAAGACAGCCCCAATTTCTTATAATCAGGATTATTTTATCTGTTGTCAATTCCTACCTTCTAGTTGAATATAAATGGTTGGTTTCTTTGAATGGTTGCTGTAAATTAAAATTTTAAGTGCCATGAATTACAGGCATCTTCCTGCTACAGGAACATTTGACTTGTGAACAGCAAGATAATGATGCTCCTAGAACAAAGTGAATAGGGACAAACTAATAGGAGATAAGATCAGACAGGTAAGGGCAGGGCCAGATAGTCTCCTGCAGTGTGAACCAAAGAAGATTTAGGTCAAGAAAAAGGCAAAATAGTCTTCAGCCAGATCTCCAAAATGATCTGGAACCTGAGGTAGGAGCCACCTGACTCTGTGGCTTTCAGAACAAAGCTATCAGCTATCAGCTCCATAGGCTGATTCTGCAGTATGGTTTTGAGAGCCTTTCTTGGAAGCTCAACCACCTCCTTTAGCCCTCCTAACAATTCTCTATGCTATAAAACCTTACTTAAACTAGCTACAGTAGACTCTTGTCTGCAAATAAGAACCCTGGCTAACACAATCTTAATAGTGGCGGAAAGCCTATAAACAGTAGCTCTGAAGTCAGGGAGGGGAAAAAAGCAGTCCCAGGCAGAACAGGGAGTATCTATCTACCCAGGTCTAGGGTGAATGACAAAAAGGAAAGGCAATGACAGTTACATGGTGTATTATTTTTCTATGACTGTCATAACAAATTACCACAATTTGGTGGCTTAAAAGAACACAAATTTATTATGTTACCGTTCTACAGATGAAAAAACTAAAATGGGTCCCACGAGGCAAAAATCAAGGTGTCAGCAGAACTGTTTTGTTCTAGAGTCTCTAGGGGAGAATCCATTTTCTTGCCTTAACCAGCTTTTAGAGGTTGCCTTCATTCCTTTCCTCATGCTTCCCACTCCTCCATCTTCAAAGCCAGCAATGACCAATAAAGTCTTTCTCAAATAGCACTTTTGGTTCCCTCTTCCACAATTTAAGGATCCTAGTGATTAACACTGGGCAATGTGGATAATCCAAAATAATCGTATTTTAAAGATACCTAATTAACTTAATCCCATTTGCTATTTTAATTACCCTTTGGCACTAAAGTAACATATCCACAAATTCCAGGGATTAGGACACAGCCATCTTGAAGGGAGGGGGATTATTCTGCCTACTACAGATGAGAGAATCAGAAAACTGGCTAGGTAATTAACAATCTAAGATACCAACCTAGTGGAACTTATGCAGCCCTGAGGCTGACAAAGTATAACTAAGGTAACTGTAACACACACTGTCCAGGCAAGGCCTTTTCTGTTATATATTTACATAGATAAATATTTATATAAGAAGTTACTTAAAAATAAAACCCACCCAATGATAAACCTTAGATCGCATACTTAAGGAAATCACTTTTAAAATAAATTTAGAAGAAAAGTAAAACAATGCTTAGCATATACAGCAGATAAAATAATCCTGACTGTAAGAAATTGGGGCTGTTCTAGAAAATCTGGGAAGAGAACTTTTTCATTTTTCAAAAAAAAGAGGCCAAGCTCATTAGTGCACTACAAACAGGTAATGATCACATTAACACGTCAAGCAAAGCCCATACACTTTAGGTGATTTTATAAAAGGAGGAGAATTTGTGTTTTTTCAAAAAACAAAAACAACACGAAACAAACAAAAATACAGGTATCAATTCCTACCTTTTAGTTGAACAGAAATTGTTGGTTTCTTTGGCTGGTTGCTATAGATCAAAATTGTTAAGTACCATGAATTTAGGTACAATAAGGGGGAACAAGCATGTAGTAAAATATCATAAAAGGCTTAGAAGCTTTGGCCTTTGAAAATTTTTTCTTACAGATAAAATCTCTCTAAACTAAGGAGTTAAGACTGTCATTTATGCTCCTGCCAGGTATTCTTCAAGCAAACAATGTACACTGTTATTTTTTTGAGGAAATTTAACCTCAAATGCATTCTGAAAACCAATTTTAAATGTATACCAAGATTGAAATTGGGATTTTTCTGCTAGAAATGTATATACTTTTAAAAACTATTTGACCACAAATGCCAGGAGCCATAGTGTAGGAATAAGTTTAACAAATTCCAATAGTTTTATCTAAAGAACACTAGAACAAAAATACAACTGGCTTAAAATTAACCAAGGACTTTACAAATAAACTTTGAGAAATGAACTCACATTAAATATACACAAAGGAATCTGATTTATAAACCAGAATGACAATTTATAGTACCAATTAACAGACAAAGCATGGAATGAGGGGTTTTCTCTATATTTCAGTGGCCATTTCAGTCAGCATCTACATAAAGAAAAAGCCAAATTTTATTTAACAAGTAATTAACAGATACTAATAATCAAAGAGTAAAACAGAATAAATGGATATAAACATTAAGGGTACTATACGAGTCTGATATATATTTTTAATTTCCTATAAATGCTAGAATACTTAATGAATAATTTTTGTATTTAATTAAACTTAACTCCTATAAGATATAACATAACTTATATTTCTTTTTTCTTCTTTTTGTCACCCAGGCTGGAGTGCAGTAGCATGATGTGGATTCACTGCAACCTCTGCCTCCCAGGTTTAAGCGATTCTCCCGCCTCAGCCTCCTTCGTAGTTGGGATTACAGGTGCGCACCACCACGCCTAGCTAATTTTTTGTTTTAGTGGAGATGAGGTTTCACCATGTTGGCCAGACTGGTCTCAAACTCCTGACCTCAAGTGATCTGCCTGCCTCTGGCCTCCCAAAGTGCTGGGATTACAGGCATGAGCCACTACATCCAGGCTTACATTTCTTTTAAACATTTAACTCATAAGAATCTACTTAAATCCCGTAAGAAAATAGAATTAAGCTCAGTATATCTTAAATAATACCTAATTTTCCTTCCTTTTATTGAATTCTTATACATCCAAACCCTAGTCACCTGACCTCCATTTTCTCTCACTTCAATGCAGGGATTGGTTCTTAAGAAAAGCTTCCTCCTAGAAAGTGTTGAGGAGACAAAATAAATTCAAAGCTAGTTACCTTGTAAACTAGGTAAGTTAGATTATTGTGGAGTTAATGATTCTGAATCAGACATAAGAATCCTATGAAAACATCCATTACTAGGGCTTACCTGAAATTATCTTCAGGCTCTCTCTTAGTAAATTTTTTTTTAACTCAAATATACATATTAATTTGTGACTTTGGAAATATTAACTGACTCTCTTGGGCCTCAATATTCTCATCTATACTATCAACTTTTATAAGGTTAGAAATACTACATGCTAACATGCAATGTGTGATAAATATCCGGCATCTAATAAAGTTATTACTCAGTTGAAAATTTTTTTAAAAAAGAAGCACCCTTCCCCTCTCCAGAGCTTCTTCTTAAAGCATTATTCTATTACTAGGCAATGTACTATATTGTTATGCTAAACAGGTACTCTTCAAATCAGACTGTAACATGAATTCATAATAAGTTATTCAAAATTCAGTACTATTTTAATATGCTTTGGCTTTGCATCCCCACCCAAATCTCATCTCAAATTATAATCCCCAGGTGTTGAGGAAGGGACCTGTAATTGCCAAGTTGGGGATTGCCTGTAATTGCCAAGTTGAGGGAGGGAGGTAATTGCATCACAAGGGCAGTTTCCCCCAATGCTGTTCTCGTGATAGTGAGTTCTCCCAAGGTCTGATAGTTAAAAGTGGCAGTCACCTCTGCGCTCTCTCTCCTGCCACCATGTAAGACATGCCTTGCCTCCCCTTCACCTTCTGCCATAATTTTAATCTTCCTGAGATCTCTCCAGCCACATGGAACTATCAGTCAATTAACTCTCTTTCCTTTATTAATTACCCAGTCTCAGGTATTCTTTATAGCAGTGTGAAAACAGACTAACACAGAAAATCGTTACCAGGAGTGGCGCACTGCTATAAAGATCATATGAAAGTGAAATCATTTTCACTTCCCTAAAAATGTGCAAGTGATGTTGGAACTGGGTAACAGACAGAGGCTGGGAACAGTTCAGAGGGCTCAGAAGAAGACAGGAAGAGGGAAAGTTTGGAACTTCCTAGAGACCTGTTGAATGGCTTTGACCAAACGGCTGAGAGTGATATGGACAACGGAGTCCAGGCTGAGGTGGTCTCAGATGGAAAAAATAATTTATTGGATATTGAAGCAAAGGTGCCTCTTGCTATGCTTTAGCAAACATACTGGTGGCATTTCCCCTGCCCTAGAGATGTGTGAAACTTTGAACTTCAGAGAGATGATGTAGGTTATCTGGCAGAAGAAATTTCTTTTTTTTTTTTCTTTTCTTTCTTTGGCAGAAGAAACTTATAACTTACATAGCTTTTTCTGAAAGCAGTCAGTCAGGTGTGTTCACAAAGAAACTTACACTTGAACTTATTTTAAAAGGGAAGCAGGGTATAAAGGTTTAGAAAATCTGTAGTCTGACTCTGTGGTAGAAACAAAAAAGTCATTTTCTGGAAAAGAATTTAAGCCAGCTGCAAAAATGTGCATAAGTAATGAGGAGCCAAATTTAATAACCAAGACAATGGGGAAAATGTCTAGGGCATGTCAGAGATCTTCGTGGCAGCCCTTCCCATCATAGGCCCAGAGGCCTAAGAAGGAACAATGGTATCATCAGCTGGGCCTCTGCTGCTCTATGCAGCCCTGGGACAGCATCCTGCATTCCTGCTGCTCCAGCTCCAGCTGTGGCTAAAAGGGGCCAAGGTATAGCTCAGGCTTTTGTTTCAGATGGTTCATACCCACAAGCACTGGCAGCTTCTATGTGGTTTTGGACCCGTGGGTGCACAGAGGACAAGAGTTGAGGTTTGGGAACTTCTGCCTAGATTTCAGAGCATCTATGGAAACACCTGGATGGCCAGACAAAAGTCTGCTGCAGGGGCAAAGCCCTCTGGAGAACCTCTGCTAGGGCAGTGTAGAAGAGAAATGTGGGGTTGGAGCCCCCAGAGAGAGACCTCACTGGGGCACTGCCTAGTCAAGCTGTGAGAAGAGGGCCACCATCCTCCAGATGCCAGAAAAGTAGGTCCACCAACAGCTTGCACCAGGTATCTGGAAACGCTACAAGCACTCAATGCCAGCCCATGAAAGCAGCTGCAAGGGCTGTGCCCTGCAGAGCCACAGGGGCAGAGCTCCCCAAGGCCATGGGAGCCTATCCCTTGCCTCAGCATGCCCTGGATGTGAGATATGGGGTCAAATGAGGTTTTGGAGCTTTAAGATTTAATGACTGCCCTGCCAGGTTTCTGACTTGCATGGGGCCTACCTATGGCCCCTTTGTTTTGTCCAATTTCTCCAAGTTGGAATGAGGACATTTACCAAATGCCTGTATTCTTCTTGTATCTTGGAAGTAACTAACTTGTTTGTGATTTTACAGGCTCACAGGTGGAAGGCACTTGCCTTGTCTCAGATGAGACTTTAGACTTGGACTTTTGGATTAATGCTAGAATGAGTTAAGACTTTGAGGGACTGTTGGGAAGGTATTGTTTTGAAATGTGAGAAGGACATGAAATTTGGGAGGGGCCTGAGATAGAATGATATGGTTTGGCTTTGTGTTTCAACATAAATCTCATTTCAAATTGTAATCTCCATGTGTTGTGGGAGGTACCTGTAATACTCACATGTTAAGGGTGGAAGGCAAGTGACTAGATCATGGGGGCGGGTTCCCCCATGCTGTTTTCATGATCTGATGAGTTCTCAGATGATCTGATGGTTAAAAAGTAGTAGCTCCCCCCACCATCTTGTAAGATGTGCCTTGTTTCCCAGTTCACCTTCCACCACCATTTTAAGTTTCCTGAGGCCTCCCCAGCCATGTGGAACTGTGAGTCAATTAAACCTCTTTCTTTTATGAATTATCCAATCTCAGGTATTTTTTATAGCAGTGTGAAAACAGACTAATACATATTTTATCTACTCATATATTACACAGTTTTTAGTCAGAAAGAACTATAGTGAAAGAACTACAGTGAATTTTCCACTATTTTTATTTTTGATAAAAATGGCAATTTTCCATTAATAAATACTGCGCAATTTTAAAAATCATACTTTCTATTTTGTCCATAATATCCTAATAGTATTGCAAACTGACCAAAAATAAGAACTATCTTCCTAGAGCTAAAATTAACATTCAATCACAATAAACCTTGGATTTACCTGGCATGAATTACAATAAGCCTTGCATTTACTTGGCATAATTAAGGTAGAAAAAATGTTCAATAATACTTAGCACTTTTGGTCACAACTGGAAACAGGAAAGTCAAATTAAACATCATCCCAAAATTAGTGTTTATTAATTTATTGTTTATGGAATTATTTGTAGTTTCTAAGGTAACAATATATGCATACTTGAAGAAATTTTAGTTAAGGAAAAAAAAGAAATCAATGAATTGGATCATCCTAGAACCACTGTTAGTATTTTCATGACATTGTTTCCTTTCACAAGCATTTTAAAAATGAGGTTATAGCTGGAATACATACAATCTTGCAATATGTATTTTATTTAATATTAGTATTTTCACTGAATATTGTATACATTATCTTTGAAAGCACAATGTCAGATAAATATCATGAAAGTGATATTTTAATTTTGTATTCGTTAATTTATCATATGTCTCTCTCACTACAACGCAAGCTCCCTCAAAGCAGGGGCCATGATTATCTCATTTATCACTGTATACTCAAAGCTTAGAACACTGCCCGACATAGTGTAAGCGGGCATTCAATACACATTTTTTGAATGAATGAATGAACTTATTTAGCAATTCTATTGTTAGAGATAATTCTCCCTTAATGCAACAAATGCAATAAGAGTTTTTTCTCGATACCTTATCTAAGTAATCTGTCTTTTACATTGAGCAAGATTTTCCAAAGAAGAAATAGTATACCCAGTGAAGACAGGGTAATTTTATGCAGAAGTAAAAACAAGTAAGAATACACTTCTAGCCCTTTAGGATGGTTATTAAAAAAAGAAAGAAAATAACAAGGGTTAGCAAGTATGTGAATTCATTGGCATCCTTGTGCATTACTGGTGGAAATGTAAAACTGTGCAGCTGACATGGAAAATGGTATGATGATTCCTCAAAAAGTGAAAGATAGAATTACGATATTACTGAGCAATTCCACTTCTGGGTCTATATTCAAAAGAAGTAAAAGCAGGCACTCAAACAGGTATTTGTATACCAGGTTCGTGGCAGCACTAGTCACGAAAAGTCAAAAGGTAGAAGCAATCCAAGGGTCCATGAATAGATGAATGAATTAACAAAATGTGGCATACATACAATGTAATAGTACTCAGCCTTAAAAAGGAATGAAATTCCATACATGCTATATAACATGAATAAATATTGAAGACATTATGCTAAGTGAAAAAAGTCACACACAACAATACAAATACAAAATCCAGTGCTTTATGACTCTATTTACATGAGGTACCTGGAATAGTCAAATTCACAGAGTGAGACAGAACAGCATTTACCCAGGGGTTGGGGGAAGGGGAAAATGGAAAGTTACTGTTTAATGTATAGAGTTTGAGTTTGACATGATGATAAAGTTCTATAAATAGATAGGAATAATGGTTGCACAACACTATGAACATACTTAATGAACTATATACACTTAAAAACGGATTTCAATGGCAAGTTTTATGTTATGTATATTTTATCATAATGAAAAATAACTGAAAAGCAAATAAGGATAAGGATTCACAGCTGGGGATGGTGGGTAATGCCTGTAATCCTAGCATTTTAGAGGGCTGAGACAGGCAGATTGCTTAAGCTCCAGGGGTTCAAGACCAGCCTGGGCAACATGGCAAAGCCCTATGTCTACAAAAAATACAAAAAAAATTAGCCAGGTGTGGTGGCATGGACCTGTAGTTCCAGCTACTTGGGGTGCTGAAGAGGAAGGATCACTTGAGTCCAGGAGTTCGAGGCTGCAGTGAGCCAAGATCATGCTACTGCACTCCAGCCTGAGTGACAAGGGGAAGCCCTGTCTCCAAAAAAAAAAAAAAGAATTCACAAGTACAAATTCTCAGGAATTACTATTTTTGAAATAAAATATTTCTCCATTTAGACAAAAGGGACTGAGATACAATCCTGCATCTATTTTACTACTATCAATATATTGTATTCTAAATTTTTAAAATTCCATTTCTATTACTATTGCATATGTAAATATTCAGTTGGAATGTAATTATGATAAACTATATATTCTCAATGTTCGTATCTTCTGCAACATGCCAAATTATATCATCACAAACTTACTACACATTTAATCACAATATCATCTAATAATTTAGATGCTAGTCTATTCAAATAGAGAGAGTCTAATTTGTGGCCATATGTAAATATGAGGATTCAAGAAAAAGAACATTTACTAAGGATTTCAAAATTGGTATTCTAGACTTCTTAAAGGGAATAAAAAACTGCCTATTTAAAAAATTCTTGGCCAGGCATGGTGGCTCACCCCTATAATCCCAGCACTTTGGGAGGTCAAGGTGGGTGGATCACAAGGTCAGTAGTTCAAGATCACCGTGGCCAACACAGTGAAACCCCATCTATACTAAAATACAAAAAAAAATTAGCTGGGCATGGTGGTATATGGTCTATAGCCCCAGCTACCCAGAAGGCTGAGGCAGGGAAATCACTTAACCTGGGAGGTAGAGGTTGCAGTGAGCTGAATCATACCACTGTACTCCAGTCTGGTGACAGAGCGAGACTCCATTTCAAAAAAAAAAAAAAATTATCATATTAGTATTTCCTTTTTTGAGTAAAACTTGCCTAGCACAGATATATCTGAATTTGTTTGAGACACTGTCCAATATTTATTAAGTGATTAAAATATTCATGATACATGATAGTTGATAAATTCTTATTAAAATTCACTTAAAACTTACAAATATTTAGGGTTCTCTAAGATTTTTATTAGTTTTTAAATGTGTACGGTTATACATCTCCTAATGACAGATATATGTTCTGAAAATCGCCTTTGTTCAGTGATTTTATCAGTGTCAACATCAGAGTTTACATACACAAACCTGTTTTGTTTTTTTTGAGACGGAGTTTCGCTGTTGTTGCCCAGACTGGAGTGCAATGGCACGATCTCGACTCACCGCAACCTCCGCCTCCTGGGTTCAAGCAATTCTTCTGCCTCAGCCTCCCGAGTAGCTGGGACTACAGGCACACACCATCATGCCCAGCTAATTTTTTTTGTATTTTTAGTAGAGACGAGGTTTTACCCTGTTGACCAGGATGGCCTCGATCTCTTGACCTCGTGATCCACCCGCCTCGGCCTCCCAAAGTGCTGGGACCACAGGTTTGAGCTACCGCGCCCGACCACACAAACCTATTAATAGATATTATAGCCTACTGCTCATAGGCTACAAACCTATATAGCATGTTACTGTACTAAATGCAGGTAATTGTAACACAATGGTATTTGTGTATCTAAGCACAGAAAAGATTATGTGTTGTACTACAAGTTACAACAGGTATGATGTCATTAGGATATAGGAATTTTTTAGCTCTATTATAATTTTATGGGACCACCATTGTATATGCAGTCCTTTGTTGATTAAAACATCCTTATGTGGTACATGACTGTATTAAAACCACAAAATCAATGACCCAAACTTTCCTTTAGTTACTTTTAATTTCTCATGTTCTCCATATCTTTATATTTCTGCATCTCTGAAAAACAAAATAAGTATTAACCTTCAGCTACTGAACTCATTTCTCTCAAGTAATTAGCCACAAAGGCATTACCAAATAGCCAGTAGAATGGAAAGAAGACTTGATAAATTTGACAATGCCTTGCTTCCTCTTGGGCTTGAGGTCCAAAAGGCCTTTTCTATTTGAAAAGCTGCTTAAGTATTAAGTGAGTATCTTCATTTTAAATACAAGACTTGATATTTTATTAGATGGTCTTCCATATGCTCCAATGACCAAGAAATCATAATTCTGTCTCAGTAAATGTCACAAGTCACATTATTTTAGGATATGACATTACAAATATGCAGTATGCCTTAAAGCTACCAAGCCAGTATAATACAAAATATCTCAAATTAATCAAAGACATGTCACTTAGCCTTACAATATACAACTACTGGAAAAAATCTTCTTACTCCCTTCTGTGTGCCTCTGAACGTCAAATTCTTTTTATTTGGGAGGTCTCTGTTGGCAAATGACAATTTGCCACTTGCCAATCGCCCTCAATTTGTGTAGCTTTGACTACTAGTGTATACATTGTCTGATGACAAAAACAAACATTAAGCTTTAGTATGGAGTTAATATCCATCATGTAGGAAATTATTAGCTTGACAAGAATTGCACTAATATTCTTCCTTTAAATAAATTTATTTTCCTTTAAAGACATTTAATGTAATAAAAGTAAAGTTAATATGAAACACAAAATCATTTATACTAACCAGATTATGATGCCATGGTTTTCTTTTCTTTTTCTTTGAGACAAAAGTTTTTCTCTGTTGCCCAGGCTAGAACACAGTGGTGTGATCATAGCTCATGTATCCTTGAAAACCTGGGCTCAAAGATCCTCCCACTGCAGCCTCTTAAGTAGCTAGACTACAAGGCACATTTTTGGTTTTTGGTAGAGACAGAGTCTCGCTCTGTTGCCCAGGCTGGTCTGGAACTCCTGAGCTCAAGGGGTCCTCTGGCCTTGGCTTCCCATCATGCTGGTATTACAAGTTTGAGCCACCACATCCTGCCCTCTGCCATGGTTTTCAAGAGAACAAGTTAAAAAAAACTGGGCAGCAGAAGACACTGGACATGTTTTTTTAAAAACGAAACAAAACAAAACATAATATACAATTTTATAAAGACAGATTTACAAAGTGTTTCATACTATAGAAATAATAGACTCATTCAAAGAAATTCCTTTTCATAGCATTTAATTTGAATACGTTATTCATTGAATTTGTCAAAAATAGTGTTAAATTAAGCTCATATTTTTCTTAAAAAATGTTTTAGCTTTATCTTGCCTGTTTTTAATTGAGAAAAAAATCAATTCTAATTATATCTAACCAAAGCCATGGTTTCTGAAAGCTTTCGTCTCTCTAACTTATATCCCATTAGGAAGCATTCAGCATTGTCCTAATAAAAGCTTTCCAACAGAACAGTTCATCCTCCTCACTCCCGGGAATAAGCAGCCAGATAGATGACTTCAATGGCAAAGATAAAAAGATGAGATAGCAAGTTACTTTGCCATGGCAACAACTTTAAAAATTCTAAACAGATCACCTTCTCCTATTTAAATATAAATGTGGTCTAAAGCAGCTGCTACAATGACTGACAAGTTCTCAATCAAAATCTATTACCATGGGGGTTTCCAACTTAGAATGTGTAACATCTGCCACTGAAGAGAAACAGAAACTTTAAAGATATTATTCCAAACTATGTTTCTGCTATAGATAGCTACATTGCAACATTTGGTCTAATCTTAATGATGCATTTAATAAAAGTGCACTTTGGCTTTATTCTAGATAATCAGGACAAAAAATACCAAAGATACATTTGCCATGGCACTTTAAATTTGGATTTGTAAAGCTGAACCTCATGAGAACTATTTCAATCCTCCAAAGTACTTGGCCAAAATTTACAACCTGTAGAAATAGCTAGTAGAAAGTTGGTGATTTTTAGTTATTACCCCTGCACCTCACCCCTAAAATAGGTTCTCACAGTTGTATAACCAAACAACAAAATTTATAAACTTTTCCAATCAATAATGCTTTTAAATATATATAAAGATTTACTAAATGCCATTAGTTAACATTTAAAAGAATAACATAGCATTTGGTACAAGGTATAAAATAAACAATGCTTTAAACTGTAAAAATTACCTCAGATTTAAATTGAACACATTATTTATAATTTATCCAACACAGCTTAATGCCATCGTGATATCAACAAAATTTTATTAACTACACTAACTACAGGTGACTCAAAAGCTCCGCCCTTCCCTTTAAGCAGTCTCATTTAGTAGCTTACCTACAGATTCAGAATTTCCATTTAAATATATTACTATCTACACAGCTATATGTCATTGTTTCAGCTTTCTCCCCTCAGCCTTTGGTCTTTCTAAGGAAGAGCTACCGAATAATTTTGTCTCCATCAGAGAAAAAAAAAAATTAAGGTGACTTTTTTATGAAGCCAATTAACATTTTGAGCACTATAAATTACAACAGTACTTCTTCCTTTGCCTACTACCAAAATAAAAAAAACAAAAAAAGAAAAAAGAAAAAAAAAAAAAAAAAAAAAAGAAAAAGCTATAATTTTAAAACACTGATCTCTTTTCCATAGAAAATGACTTTTAGATCACATGGAAAGTAACAAGATTTTAAAGTACGCATATAAAACTTTTTTCTCTACCAAAATCCTTGAGTACTTTGGAAAAGAATAAATTAATCGTAAGGTTCATATAGATAACACAAGCGTATGCCAACCAAACATCTGGAAAACTACAGATTAACAAATAATAACTTTCAGGAGCTCACTGGAATCCAGCCAGTTCTGTGGTTGCAAAGGGAAGAACAGAATTCTGTACTCAAAGGAGTCCCAAGAAACTTACTTCAGTTAATCTGAACCTCTAGACAGTCAAACTCCCTAGATAATTAATTTAGAAGAATCTAAGGAGACCAAAGGAGATCAGAAAGATCCTGAGTCTGAATTTACTTAAGAAGAAAAAGAATAATTGGAGAGCCTCAAACCTAAAGACATGCGGAAATGCAATGACTACTAAAGGAAAAACATTTGTTTTTCTTCTATTCTCACACAGAAACACCAGTGGTTCTTAATGTGTGGGTTTTCCACACCAAGCAATTCTCCAGTTCTCT